CATACAAATATTGCACATAAAAATTGAGATGATAGAATTCAAAGCATAATTTTTGTAACTTTAATAAATTAACAGATTAAGACAATAGTCAATCAATCAATGGCTGATAACATTACAAAAAGATAACTAAAAATATTTTTTTTTATTTTTTGCTATAAGAGGCGTTAGTAGCAAATTCTGCAAAATCTGAATAAAGTAGGTAAATTAGACATTAGTACCATAAAAATATGAATTTCTTGATGCTGATAATCATGCTGAGGTTAGATAAGTGAATTGTCCCTGTTTTTAAAAAGATATACATACATTGAAGTATCTTTAGAGGTTAGGGGAAATATGTCTTCAACTTATTCTCAAATGTTTCCAAAACAGTAATAATATGTACATGCCATATGGGCCAGCCAGCAAAAAAAAAGTAAAAAAATTTTTTAAAAGATAGAATAATAGCGAAAATATGGTAAAATTTCGACAATTGGGGAATCTGGGCAAAGGGCATGTGGGATTTCTTGATACTATTTTTAATAATTTTTCTGTAAATCTAAAATTATTTCACAATAAAATATTTACAAAAACAGAGGCAACAAAACATTATGGCCTCTTGATAGAAATATACAACACTACCAATGAAGTAATCTGGCACCTATCTACCTCCCCCACCAACAAAAAAAAGAAAAAACCTGGACCTGAACAAGCCTCTAGAATCTCAATCTAATTACCCATCGACAGAGAAACATGGTAAAGGACACTAGAGAAATACAATAAACAAAATCCAGACTGAAGGAAACTACAGAAAAATAACTTGATGTCTTCAACAAAGTATTGAGAGAGAGAGAATAAGAATGTTATTTGTAAATTAAGAAGTACGCCCACAAAAACTTGTACAAAAGTGTTCATAGGGCCGGCCCGTGGCTCACTCGGGAGAGTGCGGTGCTGATAACACCAAGGCCCCGGGTTCGGATCCCATATAGGGATGGCTGGTTGGCTCATTGGGTGAGCGTGGTGCTGACTACACCAAGTCAAGGGTTAAGATCCCCTTACCGGTCATCTTTTTGAAAAAAAAAAAGTGTTCATAGAAGCATTATTCATAATAGCCAAAAACGGAAACAACTCATACATCCATGTCCATCAACTGATGAATGGATAAACAAAATATGGAAATCCATACAATGGATATTATTCAACTATAAAAAGGAATGAGGTAATCATTTACTCTACAATATGGATAAACCTTGAAAAAAATCATGCCAAGTAAATAAAACCCAGTTATAAAGACCACAAATTGTATGATTCCATTTATACGAAATGTCCAAAAAAGGCAAATCTGTAGAGACATAAAGTAGATCAGTGGTTGCCAGGAGCTAAGAGGAAGAGGAAGTAACTGGTTTCTTTTGGGGGCGATGAAAATATTCTGAAACTAGACAGTGGTGCTCGTTGCACAGCTTTGTGAATACACTAGAAACCACTAAACTGCGCATTTTTTTTTTTTTTAAAAAGATGACCGGTAAGGTGATCTTAACCCTTGACTTGGTGTTGTCAGCACCACACTCAGCCCGTGAGCGAACCGGCCATCCCTATATGGGATCCGAACCCGGGGCCTTGGTGTTATCAGCACCACACTCTCCCGAGCGAGCCACGGGCCGGCCCAAACTGCGCATTTTTAAACATTAGATTTTATGCTACGTAAATTGTAACTCAATTTTTAAAAAATGGACAGGGGAATAAAGAGACTTAAGAGTCCTATCAACCAATCATAATTTATGAACTTTATTTGGATCCCAATTTAAACAAACTATAAAAAAGAAAAAAGACAGTAAGAGAAATATAAAAACTAACTGGATATAATACTAAGAAATTAATTATTATGTGGGATTATAATGGTATTATAGTTACGTTTAAAGAGTTCTAAATGATAAATGGTTGCTAAAATTCCTAAATTAAAGTTTGATCAAGAACAACATATTTATCGTTGCCAAGTATCTCCCCAAAATAACCTACTGAATACAAAGAGATACCACCTTAACCACCTCATCAAACCTAATATCACCAATATTAGGACAAACCTATTTACGTGCTCCTAATACAATTCACTGAGAAAGATGCAACACCACTTCTGTGGCATCCCCCTCAAAATATACATCATCTGAATGTAATTGTGAGGAGACATTAGATAAAAATAAATTGAGACTATTCTTCAAAATAACTGGCCTATCTTCTTCAAAAACGTCAAGGCCAAAACACATAAAAAAAAGACTGAGGAACTGATCCATATAAAGGAGATATGACAATTAAAAGCAACATGTGAGCCTGGATTTGATCCTAGACTAAGGGAAAAATTCAATGTTAGGACAACTGATAAAATTTGAATATTGACTGTGAATAACAGAATACTTTTGTGTAAATATTAGATTTCCTGACTTGTTTATTGTACAGTGGTTATGTAAAAGAATTTTCTTGCATTTAGGAAAAACACACTGAAGTCTCCAACTTACTCTCAAATGGCTCAGACAAAAATAAATGAATATGTATGTATGATATGTAGAATTATAAAGCCAATAAGGCAAAATTTAACAATTGTTGAATCTGGTTAAAAGGCATGAGAATTCCCTGTATATCTGTGGCACTTTTCTTTAAGTCCGAAAGAGGACATTATCTTTTAGAAATGCATACTGAAATATTTACAGATGAAATGGTAAGATTTCTCTGATGTGCTTCAAAATAATCAATCACAGTTGGTCAGGTATTGATAACTGTTAACACAGAGTGATGGAAACACCATGTGTATTGTATTCTTCTCTCTACTTACATATGCTTGAGGTTTCCTGTAATAAAACGTTTTCAAAAGAATCTATAATAAAAAGAGTTTTTTAAATGGAAAAACTAAGGATCGGGAAAAGTAAGTGGCACCCACAACCAGGGATCCAGTTTTGTACTGGTTCTAATATAGTACACTCTCTCCATTAATCCTCTCTTAAAATCTCTTCATAAAACATGAACTCTTCAGATAATTTAATGTGCTCTCTGCACCTGAAATCTTAATCAATACAAAAGAAATACAGTAGACCCCCAGTGGGAGTTTAATTCATATATTAAGCATATTAAGAGATTAACAACTATAACTAATAATAAAACAGAACAATTATAACAACATACCAGCATCACTATTCTTGCACTTTGGGGCCATTATGAAGTAACATAAGGGTTACTTGAACATAAGCGCTGTGATACTACGACAGTCAATATGATAACCAATGTGGCTACTAAGTGTCCAGTGGGTGGGTAGAGTAGACAAGAGTGGAGATGCTGGACAAAGGGATGATTCACCTCCAAGGCAGGACAGCATGAGATTTCATCACACTACTCAAAACAGCCACAATTTAAAACTTATGAAAAAAAACTGAGGTTAAAAAAAAAAAAAAGGGCTGGCCATTTAGCTCACTTGGTTACTTGGTTAGAGCATGGTGCTGATAACACCAAGGTCAACTGTTCGAATCCCAGTACCGGGCAGCCTCCAAAATTAAAAAAAAGAGAGAGATTGAAAAAAAAAAAAAAAAAAAAAAAACGAAAATTTTTTTTTTTTGGAATTTTCCATTTAATAAAAAAAAAAAAAAAGGGCTGGCCATTTAGCTCACTTGGTTACTTGGTTAGAGCATGGTGCTGATAACACCAAGGTCAACTGTTCGAATCCCAGTACCGGGCAGCCTCCAAAATTAAAAAAAAGAGAGAGATTGAAAAAAAAAAAAAAAAAAAAAACTTACAAATTGTTTATTTCTGGAATTTTCCATTTAATATCTTCAGACCAGAAGTAACCAAAACCACGGAGAGTAAAAATGCAGATAAGGGGGTAATAACTGTACAGTAAGATATATCTATAACTCTACCATACTTTAAATAGTTACCTTTGAGTGAAATCAACAAATAATGGATAAAAACAGATAAATGTAATAAAAGTAATCTACCCAAAGAGATGATCTACAAATCCCTGAGGAGGTAAAAAACAAACTGACATTCTTTTTTTTTTGGTGGCTAGCCAGTACGGGGATCCAAACCCCTGACTTTGGTGTTAAAGCACCACTCTCTAACCAACTGACCTAATCAGCCAGCCCTCCAACTGACATTTATTAAGGACCCATGAGCTTGTTCCTTATGTCACTTAATCCTCACCTCAACACTGGTGTCATTTTTTTCCCTTTTATTTTCGGCAGCTAACAGGTAAGGGGTTCTGAACCCTTGACCTTTGATGTTATCAGCACCACACTCTCTGAAGTGAGCTAATAGACCAGATCAATTTTTGTTTAATTACAGTAAAATAAAGTACTTATATTCCACATATGCCTTCTTTCCTAAAATTTACATCACTTTGTTTTAGTGTGTTTGTTGTTGTTTTGAAAAATCAAACAGGCTAAAATATGTCAAAGCTGTTGACTGGCAAAAAAAAACAAAAAACAGACATAATAAAGATTAAACTACAAAGAGCCAAGAGCCAAGGGTTGCTTTTACAGGAATTCTCCATATCTAGATGTCACTTTGTATTTTTTTTTTTTTGGCAAGCTTTTATTTTCATACAAACCTAATACTATAAACATGTCATAATAAATACTTAAAATAAAAATCTAAATATCACCCAGTTTTATTAGAGGGGGAAAAAATGTCCTCTAAAATAACAGCAAAGTATAAATTTCCTATCTGTTCCCTCAAAAAACCACCACTGAAAACAGTAGATGGCAAGCACTGGTTGGTTAGGATCAGGTGGTTAGAGCATGGTATTATAACACCAAGGTCCAGGGTTCGGATCCCCGTACTGGCTAGCTGCAAAAAAAAAAAAAGTAGATAGCAAAACACCACCTTAATTGTTTGCTAAAGCCTACGCGCAAAGACTTCTATTTCAACATTATGACTAATTAATAAACATGCGGTTGTCCAGTTAGTTCAAAGCATTTTTCCTCACATCATGAAAAACACAAGACAAACTTTTTCTTAATCCAAGAGAAAGACAATTAACTTACTAGCATGCTTGTCCGCAAGCATTATAAGCGTGTTGGAAATATCTCGTCGTCTATAAAAGCACACTACTTTTGCTTCCACGTTTCCACTTGCAGTCTAAGAAATAAGAAAAATGTTAAGTCATCTGTGCCAAATATTAGAGTCAAATGGTTGATACAAGAAAACTAGATATAGCACAATTATAAGATCACTCTCATTTACAATGTGCCAACCCACAACTACAGTATAACCAGACAGCTAAAAAAATTCAAACAAGGATGAGCAACATTTGTTCAGGTTCCAAGTGCAACTGGAATGTCAAACAAAATAACTCACTGGCATCAATTAAACTAAAGTGATTAGAACACTTTAATGACTACCACCAGACACAGTTAACTAATTAGCTTTAAGAAACTAATACTCCAAATTTAAAAAGCCACAACATAATTTATTTAAGACATTTAAACATACTTCTTCCAAACCATTCCCAGAAAGCACAGGCTAGGCGGAAAATCCCTCAGCCCTCCTCTAAACAGCCCCGTGTTCAACTGATGGTGAAGCCCTGTAGGTACATAGCAGCCTTTATACAGAATGGATCCAATGAACTGGAAAAGCACTTGCCAGCCCAAAGGAATCTACAAATCCAAAATAGTCAATATTCTTAGTAGTACTTGGTTTACCTTCACATACAAAAGTATTAAAAAGCTTGAGTTATGAACACCGAAGCTCTTATCCCTTTTTGACTACAGTCTAGAATACAATCAATATTCAGTTAGGTTGTAATTTACTGCAACTGGGGCCTGGGCTCATTCTCTCCTATTCTCTATGAATTCTGAGAGCTTTCAATAAGGTCAATCATTCATTACAAACTTCCTGATGAAAAACACAGATTACAATAAAATGCTGTTGTGACTTCCATTTTCAAGCAAATTTGAGAACAGGTTTTCAGATTTCTCCAGGCTTATAGATATATTCAAATATAAAGGATATATATGTGCTGCAGTAAATTTGTCAATTTTATAAAATTCAGCAGCAGTATTTCAGAGAAATAGTCCTGGAGAAACATTGCTCCTTAAGATTGAAATATTAAATTCCTAACCAAAACACTTATATATTTCATAATATTGTGATGAAATACACCCTTCAGAAATAATGATCCAACAATCTGCTAAAGGAACAGGCCAATATTTCCACGTAAATAAAATCTATCGATAACTTCAACTTTGACCTCTTTATCATTTTTGTCTTCTTGAAACAAAGTCATTTTAAAAATCCAAAGCAAGAGTTTCAAAGCATATATTTCTCTGTCTCACTAGTGAGTTCCTCTAACAGGGATGCTCTACAAAGCTAGTTAAATTCTTACTTAAACCTGCTTGAGGGGCAGGGAGCAAAATTCAAAATAAATATTCTCTTCTGGATCATGCACACACTTGGCTATGGAGCAGTTTACAACTATGTATTCCTCTTCCCCTCTATGAGACGCACATACACCCTCAAGCATTCCTCTACAGCTTGGCTACTCAAATCATGGTCCACGGCCCCATGCTGGCCCACAACTGTTACTAGTGTGTAATGAAATGAGTACAAGGATTGAGAGAAGCAATTAAGAGTTCATTTTATTTCTATTAAACCTAATAATAAAAAATTGGAGGTTGTATTTTATAAGCCTTTTTGAAATTTCACTTTCCTATTTAACACCAAGGTCAAGGGTTTTGTTCCCCTTACCAGCCAGCTGCCAAAACAAAAAACTCTTTTTTTCACTTTTCTAGTAACTTTGTTTTTGTATTTTACAAAAGTACAAGATAGAAAAACTTTTATGTTAGATTGTAATTTCGAGATAAAGTGAAATTTTTTTTTTGGGGGGGGGAATCCCCATACCACCCAGCTACCACAAAAAAAATTAAAAAAATTTTTTTTGTCTGCTGGCCAATAAGGGGATCCGAACCCTTGACCTTCATGTTGTTAGCACCATGTGCTCTAACCAACTGAGCTAAACAGCCAGCCCCCCTCAAAAATTTTTAAATCCTTTTCACCACAAATAGTTTGAAAAGCACTGCTCTAAAGACCTAGGTTAAATACTCGGTATGTACAAAACATTTAGTTATTTTCTCAAGCCACCAAATTTCTTCTGGGCCCTTCCCATATGCCAAGCACTGAGCTGGCACTGCAGATACCTACCACCAGCCTCGTGGAGCACCCACTCCAGCAAGGATGCCTGTTCAATGTCATCCCCTCTCCCACCTCATTAAAAACCTCCACCAGTTCTTCGCAACTAAAGCATAGAGGTAAAACAATTCTGATGATATGCCCAGCCGTTTTTCCCTCCAGACTCCATTTCTCACTCATGGAGGCAGGAAGAAAGTACAACCTGATGCGGGAAGAACAAAAAAAAGCTTCATGGGAGAGGAAAAGGGGTGCAGAGCCTTTAGTAGGCTAGGAAAGAAGGAAGGAAATCCAGGGCTGGCCGGTTAGCTCAGGTGGTTAGAGATGGTGTCATAACAGCGAAGTAAAGGGTTCAGACAGGGCCAGCCATAAAAAACAAAAAACAAAAAAAAAGGAAAGGAGTACAACACATGAGTGCTGGAGGACCAAATATTCTAAGAAAAAAGGACATAAGCAAAGTCCTTCCTTGTGGGGACACGTGTAAAAAAGAGCCCACAATAAACATCGATTTATTTCCCGTGTTCTCTTCTTGATTCCGTCAAACACATTTACTAAAATATCCCCTAGTGACAAGGGGCTTTTCTTAAGCTCTAAAATCAATTCAGTCAACCTCATATTCATGTCTTTCTATCTCAGACTTAGAAAGTATGTTATTAAAAAAAAAAAAAAAAAAAAAAACCCTTTTTCATTTCATAAAGTCCATGGTTTGCCCAGATTAAAGAACTAGAAAATGGCTTTCCTTTCCTAATTCCCAACAGATCCCAAATGGCAGGAGGGATCTTAAGGTGAGTACTTTTCAATCCCTGTACTCGCCAGCTATCAAAAAAATAAAAAGGTGGATTCCACGAAATGGATTGAGGGAATCCTCTGAAATTATGTATTAAAGCTTATATGTACAAATGTAGATTGGGGAGGAAGGGGGATATCCACAGTTTCATCAGATGCCCCCCAAAATTAGTGACTCTCTTCCCCCCACCAAAGACACCAAGCACAAAAGTGAATAAAACAGCAAGTTAGATGGTCAATAATAAAATGTACAGAATGTAAAGATACATATAAATTATACAACACAAACAAAAAAACCCAATCAACGAGTACCCTAATTTACCCACAAGCATAATTTCCAAATTTCCTCTTAAAAAGTTTAAAACCTCTGGGGCCAGCCCAGTGGCGCACTGCTACAGTGCGCCGCTTGGGAGCGCGGTGGCGCTCCCACCGAGGGTTCGGATCCCACATACAGACCGGTTCCCGCTCACTGGCTGAGCGAGGTGTGGGAGCAACACCGAGGGTTGCGATCCCGTTGCGGGTCCCGGCCCGGTATGGGCGCAACACTGAGGGTTACGATCCGTTGCCGGACACGAAAAAAGACAAAAAGGAAAAAAAAAAAAAAAAAGTTTAAAAACTCTTTAGGTGAATAAAGCTTTTTTCAAAATGTATATAGACAGACTCAACATTTAAAAGCAAGAGCAACATTCAACCTAGATAGTGACTAAATAAAATTTACCAAAAAGTTTTCTATTTTAACCTTATACTCTTCCTGCAAAAGATCATCTTCACTACATTTGAATACAAATTAGGAGACAGGAAAAGAGAGAATGTAATATAAACAATGTTGAACTGTGTGCATCAACAGATATTTAGTTTTACACCTAAAAGTTCCCAAAGCTTTTAGAAAAAAACTGAGACAAAAATCTGTACTGTAATAATAATAATAAATAAATAAATAAATTGCAGTCCTGCTTTCAATCTGAGCAGGTAAAATTTCAAATATGAATTTTTTTAAAAAACAGGGATCATTCTATAAGTGAATTTTTTATAAAAATGGTAATTGACAGCTTATCCTAGGTATTTTGTTTCAAAAACTCTACTTAGAGGATAAGTTAATAACATAGGTTAACATCCCTTTTCCTAACTTATTAATTAGAACATAATTTTGTATTTTTAAATTCATTATTTGGATTTTCCAGTCATACCAACTTTCCCCACCTACCCAATTTCACCTCTGAGCCTCCCACGGCCTGTACGTAAAATACTCCTGAGGCCTCTCTTCTCATAGCTTCCTCTTTCTTATCCTTTCGGCCTCAATTTCAATGTCCCAAAAGTCCTTACCTACCCTACATAAAGGAAATAACCTCTGACATTCTCTATTGTCAAGGCTCTTACTTATTTCCTTCTTAGAAGTTAACAAATTTATTACTATTTTGTTTATGCCTGTTAACTTGTCTCTCCAAGTGCCTCCCTCATAAGAATGTAGACCTGTGTGGGGAGAGACCATGTCCATCTTGTTCACTGCTTTATCACTGAGCCTAACATAGTGCCTGGTACATATCAGGTGCTCAGTAAATATTTGTTTAATGAGTTATCTAAAATGGATGTCTTTTTCACATCCCTTCAGAAATAAAGGCACTATGGGCCGGCCTGTGGCTCACTCGGGAGAGTGCGGTGCTGATAGCACCAGGGCCACGGGTTCGGATCCCATATAGGGATGGCCGGTTGGCTCACTGGGTGAGTGTGGTGCTGACAACACCAAGTCAAGGGTTAAGATCCCCTTACCGGTCATCTTTAAAAAAAAAAAAAAAAGAAAGAAAGACACTATATAAATATTTAGTAAGAAAGAAGTCATCTCAGTTATTTAACAATTCTCCAGTTTGGATCCCTGTACCAGCCAGCCGCCAAAAAAAATAAATAACAATACTCTAGCCATCCAAACTGTCACTCTCTGAATTACAGAGAATCCCATTTCTCACAGTTTGGTCATTCTCCCACCCCAAAGGACCACTATTATATGAATGACTCTTCCCTGAAAGTAGGGAGTGGGAGCAGAGAGGAAGTAAGGGTGGGGGAAGGGCATACTTTTGAAGTGAAAGGTAATGTAATGATAAAGGAATATGACACAAGTTCCAGCTAGATATGTAACCCAGTCATTTAACCACTTTGTGCCTCATGACTTATCTACCTTAAAGGCGTGAGGTTCAAAAGGGGTGACAAATGTGAATCCCCAAATTATGTTTCCAGAGCACCATACAGCATCATGCTCTGACAGTTCTAAACTTAGCACAGGTGCAATTTTACTTGTGGGACTATTTGGCTAAGGTCTGTCTCCGCTAGATCTGTTTTTGATCACACTTGCATTCCCAGCGTCTAAAAGTGCCTGGCAGGTAGCAGGTCCTCAAAAATATTTGTAAAATGAATGAATCAAAATACTTTATAAACAGTTAAGCTATGTACAAGCATTACCATCAGACATTTGAGAAATTCTTTAATTCAACAAATATTTACTGAATGCCTTTAACTATGTGTCAGCCACCATTCTAAGGCACTTACGATGAATTAGTGAACAAAACAGAAAAGATTATTACACACATAGAGCTTACATTGTAGTTTGGAAAGACAGGGAATGAAAATAAATACAATAATTAAGAACATTTGAAGGTGATAAATGACATGGAAAAAAGATTAAAGTATGAGGGTTACAACTAAACGGTCTTCCTAAGGTGGATGCAGTGAGAAAATAGTCAAGAGCCCACTGTGCTTGGAGCCAAATGAGCAAGCCACCTTTCATAAGAGTGGACATCAGAGGGGCAGCAAAAAGCCAGAGAATATAGGGTCTCACAGGTGAATGTTTCTACTTAAATCCTAGTTAGCTTTCTAAATAAACTGATGTGGTGAACAGTTTAGAGGTGCTTCAATTCATATACCTTACATCATTAAAATTAAAGAGAAGATAAAAAAAAAAGACAAAAGACAAAAAATATATATACACAAACACACACAAAAATAAAAAATAATTAATTGATTAATTAATTTTTAAAAAGAGAGAAGATCAGAATTATACCCCAACAGTTCCCACCTATGGACTGTTCTTTTTTTTTTTTTTTCCTTTTTGCCTTTTTTCGTGACCGGCAACGGGATCGCAACCCTCGGTGTTGCGCCCGCACCGCACTCAACCAGTGAGCGGACCGGTCTCTATATGGGATCCGAACCCTCGGCGGGAGCGCCGCCGCACTCCCAAGCGCCGTACTGTACTGAGTGCGCCACCGGACCGGCCCTAAA